CTGCTTAATTTTGAGTTGTGGAAAATCGAAGGCCTGTTCGTAGATGCCACAGAGCATGTCGCGACAGTCCAAATATGGGGATCCTAAAACGTAACCACGGGGCAAAGTCCCTGTAGCAACCGTGGCTGCTGGACCAAGCCTGTGGAACGCAGATCTAAGCATCCCGAGCCCCGGAATCGAAGACACTTTTATCCAAACTAGCCCCCCGAACCTTCGCCAAATGACAGTCCAAGCAACCCCAAGTCTTGAGTTTTAGGACTGTCGTGTCTTGCTCAATACGGTCCCTTCAACACCGAAACCTCGAAGTGTCATCTGCGCCTTGCCATAGTCGGCAAAGGGACTGAGCTCGCTCCATAGAGACCTGTGAGGAAGTCAAGCTGTGACACAGCCGGGAGAAGGCTTTGGCCTGAAATTTGGAGTTGGCACAATGCAACATTCATCTATCCCTTGGTCTATCTCTCTCGCACAAACATATTCTGACTCGGATGCGTCTTGCGCAGGTTGCAAGATCGCCACAAGCAGAAGTAGACAGAATGCGAGGTCCGGAATGAAGCCAAAGAAGCCTGTCTAGAATGAACTGGACGGGGTAATGTACGTCGTCCCAGGCACAGGTCCAAATCGCAGTCCAAGCTCGCATTTAGCGACAACTAAACAAGCTCCCTCGTTCTTGAAGCCACCACGACCAGAAGCCATGGACAACGAAACGCACATGGCAAAGCCGGCTGCAGAAGTTCGCGCCGGGGTCAAGCTCTTATCAGACTCGTACCAATACTCTGCTCAGGGGAACCGTTGTCATCCCGCTGAGGGCCCCAGCCGCTTCTCGTAGCTGTCCGGATCGACAACTTGTCGCGTCTGCAACGGGCAAGTTGGAAGTCTTCGAGGTCGGGGTTAGTATTCCATAGAAGCCTGCGTAGTGGGTCATAATATGCCCTCGCCCCGTATTCCATAGAAGTCTGTGTGGTGGGTCTTAATATGCGCTTGCTGCCCCTATACAAGCTATACTAGGCATGCCCCAAAAACCCCACGTTGCCCTCAAGACTCGTGTGCCCGTCTAGCGTGGGCTTTGACCGCACAGTCGCTAAACGGGACCCCTTCTAAGCCTAGGTGTGTATGTGTGTGTATATATATATATATATATACAGTGTCTATGTATATAATATGTATGTGTATATTACATGTATATATATATACAGATATATACACATATCTATCTTTCTTCTATCTATATAGATATGCCTCTCTCTCTCTCTCAAAATAAATAAACAAGTAAACTATATATATATATATATATATATTTATATATTTATGTATATTTCTGAAACACAGAACCATGGACTCTTGGGGGTTCAAAATCTGAAAGGTTCAGGAGTCGCCTGACCACCGGGACCTCAAAGAACCAAAGGCCCGAAGACCAAAGAGCCCCTTAGATGAGGGCAGCGGGGGCCCTTTTAAGAAGAGGGTATTCAGGGATAGAAGGCCCGAAGCCCTTAAAGAGGGGCAAAGTGACCTTAAGGAAAGAGTGTTTAAAAGGGTATAAGCAGGGTTTGTTCCAGCTCTTCGACCCTGAAACTTGCCCAGGAACCCAGGAATCTCGTAGTTGAAGGCTTAAAGCGAAGCTTGTGGATTCCTCTAGTCTCTCGTGCCCCATACCCGTGGAGGCAGGGCAAGGGGATTTAAGTTGCAGGTTGCACTTTGCCAGAGCGCTCAAACCGAACGGAAACTCCAGATTGAGAGGACTAACACAAACTACGACATGTCTCAACGTCCAGGAAGGGTCTTGTCCGGGAAGCCTCTGTGTGGAAGCCCTTCGTGCTGAAGTAGGCTGCGCTGAGACCTAGGTGCGAAGGCACAGATGGAACTATCGGAGTGCTCCAGGGCTGCAGCTAGCTCGGAGAGTTTTGCCTCATTGTGTTTCATATCGGTCAGTATGGCAATGCGTCGGGGTTCAGGACGTGGTTGAGAGACAGCTCCTTTAGAACTTCAGATGCTGACTCGACCGTAAGGCAAACGTAAACTTGACTTGCCTCTGCTTGTAGCTTCCGGTACATCAACCGAGACGCTCATGGAGTGATGTCTCCTGTGCAGTCTTCCTTCAAAAGTGAATTGGAAGCTTAAGGATGTCATATCGAGACCCCTCGTAGTGTCTAGTCCGTGGAGAGCCGTGTCGGTTCGTGCTCTGGCCAACGAGAAGCGGAAGAAGTAGCGCTGAAGTTGCGAAGCAAGTACAGCAGCAAAGCCATGCGACAAAAACACAGCCCCTTCGGAAACCAGACTGCCAGGACCATCATGCAACTCCCCATGCCTGCATCTAACCCACTTTGCTCAAGGACAGAATGTAAAGCAGAATGCAGCTTAAAATAACCCGGTTCTTGAGTACACTGAATACTCTGACTCTGAAGGATGTTCTGGAATCTCACTTGCAAGGCCGAGGGTCGTCCCTGGGTGCGCATCTCTGCCGGCACCTGCACCGAGAGACTGCGAAAGAGAGGCCTGAACAGAGGGTTCTTGGGGAGCTTCCTGCCATGACTATATGAATGAACTCTGAGGAGATGGAAGCCTTGCAGAATCATCCGACACCATCCGACCACCGAGCAAGGCACAGGCCCACGAAGCTGCATGATCTCCTGCAGGACCTGCAGGCTCTTGCGGCTCAGGGCTGAGGACTTACCCATTACTACGACTTGCAAGGCTTCGGGTTTGCTGGGGGTAAAACTGTAGGGGTTGCAGGGATTGAAGGTGTCAGGGTTTGGGTGTAGGGTTAAGGAGGCTTCCGGGAGTAGCATCCGGCCTCTCGTGGCGTGTGGCAGTTTCGGAGGTAGATTCTTCCGACGATGAGCTCGTAGATGGTCCAAGCAGCCTGCCAGCCTAATCCTACCTACAAGTTCCCATGCCGAAGTTCCCGAAGCTGCAAAGACCCCCTGTCAAGCACGGACTCGCCAGGCTGGCCGACCAGACGTCGATCTTTCTACCGCGCGTGCAACCGAGAAGGACCTTCGCGAGGCGGGTGGATTTCGAGGTTCGGGTGTTAGGGTTGGAGCCTATGAGCTTTACGTTCAAGACTTTTGCCTGTTGCGTTAGGAGCGGAAGCTTCACGGAATCGTCTGTCATGCATGGTTTCCCCAATACAGCGGAAGCGGCATGGAAATAATGCACATTGAGACATGAATCCTGTGAAGTCTTCGCCGGGAGAGAACGGGATGTCTTACTTCCAGTTTTCTGCACTGATCGGAAACTGATCTGTTGCTAGACTCAAAGACCTGTGCGGGCTCAAGTCCTGCCTCGGGTGCCCTATAGAACAGTGGCTGCAGCTCGTCCTGCCATCGAGATTTCGAGAATCTGAGCGGTCTAGGATACTGGCTGCATCTTGCCAAGGCTTTAACTTTGGATGCAACGATTTGCCGTGGGAGCGAGTGGAACACTCAGTGTCGAAGGTACCAGACGCGACAGCAGACCGCAAATCCAGGAACTGAATCACAATGCTGTGCCAGGCAGATCCATCAAGCAATCTTGAAATAGTGCTGCGTCCGGTCACTCGGGTACAGATCGATTCAGAACCACAACTTACAGCACCGATATTAATTTGGGGGAGGGAATGCCTGTACCTGATTGAAAGATTTCACATGGCAGTATGGGCTTTGAACATTGGCTCCAGGGCATGGGTGTGCTGCATGAAGGTCATCGAATTTCCCGCGAACCTTGCAATGAAAAAAGCCTAAACCCACAAACCCCAAACACCTTCAGACCTTCGGTCGGGGTGGAGGGACCGAATAGTCCCGTAAAAGCCCAAAGCCCTCGGAGACCAAGAATCCTGCGTTCAGACTTCACAAAATTAGGGTACTATCGGTCGCAATGGGCAGGAGAAGGGTAACCTTGTGAATTGATATGGTAAGCTTGTAAATACCCAGGAAGGTAAAGGCTCCGGTCGCCAACCCCAACCCCCACCCCGAGCGCGGTCCGTGTTTTGCAGCTCAGGCGACGGCCTCAAGATTGAGAAGGAGGCCAGAGCCGGGTTTTGTGCCAAAGAGGCCAACTACATGAAAGTAATTCTGGCTCTTGGTGCCTCATACTATCCTAAGCATCCATTCGACACCCCCACAGAAAATAAGTATGACTGATGGCCACTGCACGGCGCAGCAAAACCACTCCGCAAACCACAGGCGAAAAAACTGTGCCAGGCCTTGCCGTGCCGAAGTCGCAAAGCTTCACGGCCAAGCCATCCCAACCTCACGGAAAGCGTTGTGAAAACGCGGCCGACACTTCATCCTTCACTCGGGAATCGGCGGGGTTTTGGAGGTCGAAACAGAATCGCAATAACTCCCCCATTGAATCCCAGAGCCCTTACAGGGCTTCTTCTGGTTGAACACAGATAGACACAGACCCCGACGAAGGAGAAGGTTGTCCGGCTTCACGTCGCAGTGGACGATGCCAACGATGTCATGAAGATATCTGAGCAAGTCCCCAAGTTTAGGGTTCCGGGTGGTCGCTTCAGGATGCTTTAGGTTTTCTAGATGGGCTTCCAGGGCCAATCATGAACGGCGCCTGCCCTTGCGACTTTGTGAAGTCAAGACAAGACCAAATCGTAATTCCCGTGTTGTAGAGTTGGCACCTGCCTGAACCCCGGCAGCAACGTAGGGCAAATCTACCCGAATCTTGAACTCCATCAAAACCTGGGTGGCTACACGACAGATAGAACCCCGTTTTCCCTGATGTAAACCGCACCTCGCACCTCAGATCCCCTCGGTCGGCGCTTGATAGATCGACGCTTTGCACTCCACACACACGGCCATCAACAGCCAAAGCCGGAACATCCCCAACAGCAACATTGCGTCAGGCGCACGTCAACAGTAACAGTTGAGATGTTGAGACCTCCAATATCTGCAGCAACCAAGATTCCCGAGTCTGCGAACCATCGACCCGAGTAGGAAGGCACAGGAATCCGCGGAAGACAATGTCAAGTAACTCAGGACTCAGCAAGCGGGCACGGCCGGCTTTTTGAACTTCTAAGCGCCAGCCCACACGAGCTCGCGGACCACGTCGAGATGTCCGAAGCAGGCTGCTTGGGCGAGAGCAGATCCTCCGACCGATCGGCCGACCTCGTAACTCTATAAGTCTTAGACGACTTAGTCTCAGTCTTTTTGAGGGATTAAGCGGGGGTTGCGTTACAAGGTTCAAGGCGCAGGATTTAGGGGTGCATTCCGTTGGATACAGGGGGGGTGATAAATCTTGGCCTGCTGTTGCAGTCTGAAAGACTCCTGGCCAAGCCCCCTACATAGACACTGGGCTTCAGGGAAAATATTCGTTATAGTTACAGGGGCTTATAAATCATGATTGCCTTTCCTGCCTATTCTATGGTCTCCGAATGCATGTTTCCAACCCAGTTCAGGTGGGTGTGGTCTGGATGCCAGTTTCGGCAAGAAGAAGCTAGTCGAGGCAATCGAAAGCACCAGATTCGGCAAGACTCTAAAGGTTCGCACCAGTCTCGCAAGCCTGAAACCCAACACGCGTACGCGCTAGCAAGTTGACGCAAGTTGCACGAACACCAAGCCTTCCCAAGTCCTAAACTCCAACCCCTCAGCCCGGACCCAAACCGCGCTAAGCCCACACCTCGGCACGGGCTGCCAGGAGCAGGCGGACAACTTCCAGATGGCCATAGCCGGAGGCCGCGACGAGAGGTGGGTCCGAGTCCCAGCGGCCCGGCTCAAGGGCGTTGGCGTCAGCGCCTGCCTGGCTGCTGCCGGAGGGTCCATTTTATTATGGGGGGAGCTGGGGGGGTCCCTGGGTCTGGGGATCCCAGGATGTGTGTTCGCTTATGAAACCATCAGGAATACTAGCACGCGATCGCCGAGACGGCTAAGCCCAACATGTCTCACCTCGCTATAACGCAGCACCATATGTTACAGCCAGAGGGAGTACCACAGCCTGATGTGATGTCAGCCGGATGCCTCAATACTGTCTGCTGGTGTTCCCGAAACGCACTTGCAAGATGCAGCACAGAGATGAGGACGAAGTGTTCTGACAGCTGTTACACTACGGGGGAAGTGATGGCGCCATTGTAGGCTGGTAGACAATCAACGACACAGGCCAACTTCAGGACACAGGGGCCCCTCAGCCAACCCCTAAATAGTGAGTAGGATAATGATTCCTAGGACCAGAAACCTCCGAATCCAAGCCGCGCAAGGGTCCCCTCCGAATCCCCCAGCCCGACACCTCAACCCCGCCAACAGGTTAGGGTCTGAGGGTGCGAAGGGAAGTGAAAGGATTTAGAGCTTGTGGGGTTCAAGGGTCTATCTATGGATCTCGGCTTTATGGGAGATCTGCCTTCAGGGTTTGAGGCCGAGGGTAACGCCTTAGAAAGTCCCTTAAACAAGGCTCCCTTGTCCTCTTCCCCAACGAGAATCGACGAGAATCCCTTGTGATAGCTGACACGAAAAGGGAGAGTAATCTTCGTGGGACCAAACGTACCCATATACAGCCTAATTATAGTCCGATCTTTGGGTTGGACTTCTATGTCCTTTCTGGGACTTTGGGCCTTTTTGCCCTATATGTTACAAAGCCGCCCACAGTAGCCTCAAGCAGCAGCTGGGTCGTCAGGACATGGCCGTAGGTCGCTGCCTCGCGGAGAGCCGTCGCCCCGTCTTCGTGGACATGGTTCACCTTCTCAGGGAGATGTCGGCTTCGTTCAGGGCTTTCGGGTTTCAGGGTTTGGGGTTTGCGTTTCGGGGTCGGGAAAGTGTTTTGTAGCATGTTTGCTCCTAGGCGATATGGCGAGACATGACCGCTTGACCTGTATTCCCAAACGGTCAACCTGAACCCCAAACCCTAAACCTCAGTGCCCCTAGACCCCTAAACCCAATGCCGACGCTACGTCGTAGGATCCTTTTTATAAGAACCCCGAGAAGTTCCCACAACGGCTTCAGGTTCTTTCTCGACGTCCTGCCTCAGCGCGGGCCTCCAGCAGAAGGCGAAGCACCTTACAGGAGGCAGGTTTTAGCACCAGTAGCGCAGCTTGGGGTCTCCAGGAATGCTATGCCGTATGAACACATCTTGGGAACCATAAGGAACTATCGCTGCAATAAGTATTCAGACCCCTAAACTGGGGTTTGGGTAAGGTTTATGGTTGGGTTAGAGGTGTCAGTCAGTTGTTCGATTCCACTGCATTCCGATGCGGCCTCCACGTGACCCCAGCCGGCAGCTGCAGTCAGGGGCGATTCCAGCTGGTCTGGGCCCATCAGTGGATCGGCTAAAGAGTTTGCGGCCCATGCACCTGAGAACTCGAAATCCAACGGCTCTCTCACAATCGACTCCTCGAGCTAGGTGCACTTGCAGTATTCAGTGAACTAACAGTCGGTGTGCATGTTTCTTCCCCTCCCCGGCCTCTCTCCAGCAAGAGACGGACCAAGTCCACGTGGCCGTGCCGTGAGGCTTCGGAAAGTGCCGACTCGCCATGGTTGGCCACTTCTCAGCAGTTGACTTCGCGCTTGTAGGGCTCATGGTTTGGCAGTTTACGGTTTGACAGTAAGTGCGGAGTCTCATTGAAAGGGTTACGCCTTCTGTGTTCTTGGGAGTTTCAGAAAGCAGGAAGCCCGAATAGAAACTCAAAGAGCAGGACCCATCTTGAAGATCCCAGAACAATAATGAGATAGCCTTCATGTTCGGTCTTTTTTGTTTGCGTCATCCGAGACCAGCCATAAACCCAAAAGTCATTAACAAACCCCCAAACCATGAATACTCCATACCCTGAACCCTAAATCGAATATTGGGAATTTTATTGGAGCTCTCTTACGGCATCCAAAGCTCCGAAAATCTGGGCAGAAGCCTCCAGCAACAGTTGGACCACCTGGGGAACTGTGCGATTCTCTGCAAACTTGGGTCTCTCTACTTGCGATCCCGAGCTTGGGGACCCATCGAGGAACGCTTTCATGGCCTACTGCCAAGGACCTAGGAAGCTTGAACAGGTACAGATGGCGGGAGAAACAGGATACAAGAAGAGCGTTTGACCCGGCAGCCGCCTCCATGTGCCCACCTCCACATGCTACCATGAGAGGGTAGATTCCGGCAAGGGTGCATTGGTGGACGTCAGCACGGACCTCCAACAGTAGCTGCGCCACTTCTAGATGGCCATACTGGCATGCCTCGGACACTTGCTGACTATGGGCAGATGGGTTTGACTTATTTGAGGCTTAAGGTTCACCCTGATTTGATTTGATGAGGAGTTACAGCTTGCAACAGCAAAAACAAAAACTGTTGTTTATCTGGATCTAGGTAGGCTTGCGCGGGGCCAGCCTCACGTTCTATGCTCAATGTGTCTTATAAGCACCTACATAGTACAAAGTAGAGCTTCTACAATAAGAGTTACTACTGTTGCTTGAGCACGTATATCTTCCATATCGGCATTTTTCCCTATTTATCGTGACCAGGTGCATAGAAGAGACCTGAAACTTCAGCTCTTCCATTCACATCGGCCCCAGCCTCAGGCTTCAAAATCTTTTCATTGGTACCGACCCGGGCCAGAAACCAAGTCTGCACCTAAAGTATGAAAAAAACACACGATTTGGATCCTGAAAGCCCTGGAACTATGAACCCAAGCCCTGGCCTCCACCAGCATGCGGGCCATGTCAAGACATCCGAAGGCGCAGGCTTCGCTAAGGGGCCCTTCTTCCACACGAGGGTCGAAGGTGTCAATCTCCTCACTATTCAAGGCTTAGTGCTTCGGCGAGCGCAAGGCTGGAAGATGAAATGCCTGAAAAGTCCTAGGGAAGAACCCAATGTGACCCTATGTTAAACTCGAATATAGCCCCCTTAATTATGGAGACTGGTACACCATGGTGGTGTATGTTTGCACATGCAAAAAAACGCAACGTTTGCGAGAAGTAACGAGGACGGATTTGCAGCTTTGCCAACTGTCAACCCTAGCCCGAAACTTCTGATCCAGGCGTCTGCATGGGCCTCCAGCAGAAGTGACGCCACCTCGCAGGGGTTGAGCCGAGTTGACTCGGCCCTACGGCATACGATGGCATTCCGATGCGTGTCTTCATACTGCCTTTTCGCGTGACAGCCTTCTGGCGCCGCCTTATTTTTTAAAGCCATACCACCCGTCTCGTCTAGACTATCCTACAGCTTGAAGCCTACCTGCTCGCAGACACTCCAAAACCCACTCATTCAGCAATATATACCTTAATCACGTTTAAGGCATGATCTCTACATGTTTTTGGTCCAAACCGAGAGCCGGAAACCCATCAACCTAAACCCCCAACTGCAGCAACGTTAAACTTAAATGTCCTCAATATTTCAACCCTACATTACCCTCTATTATCCCCCAAATACCCACTGTTCAGGCCGTAAGGGCTCTCGAGCGAACCTTGTGGGGTCCTAGTAATCCCAAACCCTGAAACTTTTTCAGTACACCCAAAGCCCTTTATCGCGGGGTCCCGATAAAGAGGGCTTCGACAGCCACCTCAAGGTCTCCCGCCCGAGCTGCAGCACAAAGCAGACGATCCTGGAAAGTGATATTTCTGGACATGCTGCGTTTGGTTCCGGCCACCTTCTTCGGGCTGTTTAGTTTAGTCGCGAGAACATCTACTTACTTTACAAAACCACGGATTGCCAAATCTCATGATCCTCCAAACATGACCCAAACCTTAATGCTGCAATCCTACGGCATCAGCAACACCTTCAGATCGAGAACCTAGAAGCCCGCAAAATGCTATGAAGCCAAAAGCCCTTGCAAAATCCTGCAAGCCCACACCAACAACCTTAAAGCACCACCCACCAGGTTCTGTTCTTATCATCGCTGGTCCAGGGTTTGGGGCCGAGGAGGGGTCACAGGACTCAAGCTCCGCCTAGCATGACGCGTGCTGTAGCCTCGAGGGCCGACATGACGGAGTGGCTAGGGGGCTCACTGTAACTACGCCCATTAAGAAAAATCCATTAAACGACAGTAAGATAATGGTCATGATAATCAGACGTCCTGGAGACTTCAGCAAATAGCTTTATTCGAAGATTCCTACGCTCATTGGTGTTGGGCACTCTGGATAGCTCTGAGTGTCCTTTGGCCGCACTCTCGCCGCAAAGTCCAGAACGATGCTGGCTGGTCGGCTCATCTTCTTGCCAGCACCCGCCCCCAAGAGCAGCTTTACCTCAGCGTTGCTCTTAGCCGGCTTCGGGTGTAAACCCAAAGGGCTCAAAGCTTTGGGGGCTTTGGCTTTGGGATGCTGAATCAAGGGAATTGTGTATGACTTGGAGGAGTGCGGAGTTGAAGCTGCAGCTGCGGAATGTGTTCGGGCAGCTTCTTGAGGATTGGCAGCATGCCGAAGCCTGCATTTCAATCGTTCGGCATCGAACGCAAGCAAATGCTTAAGGCTTAAGCTCGAACACCCAAACCATGAACCTCTCTACACACGAAGCTCAAACCCCGAAACCTTGGCTCAATAGCAACTGGGGTCGTTCGAAGTTTCGGTCGGTCTGCGCAAGCTTCTGACCAGAGTACCAAATTGAGGCACAGCTAATGGTGCTAACTACAGAGGGGCTTGGAGCTGCGGCCTTTGGACTTAGGGTTCGGAGTTTTGGGGCTCCCTTTGCCGCCCGCGGAACTTGATGAGTCAAGGAAGAAAGGAACCCCTGAACGCCATAAGGGCGAAAATCTGGCAGCATCTCGACAAGTTAAAATTGAAGTACCTACAAGGAGGATACTCACACAGTCACAACGCATAATTTGATGGTAAGTGAGCCTCGACAAGCCCCATTGAAGCCCCAGGAAGTTAGCAGAGACAAAGGTCGCAGCGCTAGACAAGAAACTAAGACCCACACTAGGGCCCAACATCGCAACCGCTTTTCCCTATAACTTCAAGACCGTGGTGCCACATCCAGGCGGTTGATGTCAAACGCTACTCCTGGGGTCACTAGTAATGATGCCTTCCTCTAATTGCTCGCATAGGATCCATCATAAGGTAGGTGTTCAAGCGCATTTTGACTAATAAAATCCAAGATACGTGCCTCAATGATTGGAACGGGGTCTGGAGACGATACAAGGGGATACTATGACTAAGTCGTGACTAAGTATTCAGGAGCCAATCAACATCCTCCAGGGTTGAAGTCTTCAGGGGAAAACCTCCAGAATTCGGGGCAAAGGTTGTACCCGTGAAAGTTCAGCAGCGAGAAAGCAGTCCAAATAAAACCTCGATGTGCAAAAACTGCACCTGAAACCCCGATTAAGCCAGAAACCCGTTGCCCTAAAACTCAAGACTCGAATCTTAATCCCTAGGAAATGCCTATAAGCCTGTAGGACATAGACTCTCTCTGCACTCTGAAAGGATCCCCGCGGCTGTCCTAGCGGAGTGCTTCCTGCATCGGTGGCCTTCTCTGTGTCCGCTCGGAAACGCAAGAGTAAGTCCACGATCTGAAGCGAGCCGATGGAAGAAGCCTTGAAACACTTGAGAGGTCGGTTGAGAAACGCCAAGAGGGTTCGGCGGTTGGGGCTTAGAGTTTATAGGCTTTCTTAACTCTGGCTTGTTGTGGATGCTGGACTTGTGCCGAACTTCACGGTGCAGGTATGACTCGCTCCTGTAACAGGAGCTCTGGTAAGCATCCGAACCATGAACTTGACGATTTTGGGGAAGATCATCCGAGAAGCAATGAAGAGCGGCGTGCCACCCGAATGCTTTCCGTTGCAGCTGCAAAGATCCGTCTGTGCTCCAGCTTCCAATAGAATGCGGGCACAACCCCACTGACCTGACAGCGTCAGACACTCGGGAATGGGGCACAGACGCGGCCGCTACAAAGGTTACGGTGAGGAGAAGTACCCCTTGCTTAGAGCTGGCTTGTGAGGCCCGCTCCGCAGCACGACGCAGTGTTAAAGCAAATCTCGACCGCCTGGGTTCCAGTATGATGACAGATTCAGGCGGAGCAACTTCAGTACAGAACACGAAACTGCTCTGATGTTGACAGCGGAACGGCAGAATCTTTAAGCCTACCTGTTTGCTGACTGCGGCAGTCATGAGACACTCAACTGCTGCTGTAGCACTCCCTCATCCTGAAACAACCTCGGAGTAATCGGTGGACAAGTCTGTATCCGTGCTGTCCGAGTGTTGTACAGTACAGAATGGAACTCAAACCGAGCACTTAAATCACACCTTCCTCCAGGCCTTGTTTCGCAGCATGGTAGAGAGGGCTCTCGCCGTTGTCATTCACCTTCAAACTCAGCCCCGCTTGACATGGAAGGCAGATACCGTCGAATTCAGCCTCCGGCCTGTCGACCCTGATCCATCAAACCTAATCTCACCGCACCAGCCTGGTTCAAATTGGCTCTGGCCCGCAGCAGCATCTCAACAATGGCTTGCACACCAGTCCGACAGGCCGTCAGCAAGGGCGCTTCGCCCTGGAGCTTGGCCTCCGGATTCTTTGATTCAGGGATTAGATCAGTTTAGGCTTAGGCGCTTCGAATGGTCAGGGAAACATCCCAGCTGCTAGGCAGACTTCGACAGCTCGCCGTTCGGAGCCGCACCTTGTTGACATCTGCACGGGCCTCGATCAAGACATTCGCGACCTTTCGATGCTGAAACACTCGCGGGCCACATCGGAAGCTGAGAGGTAAGTTTGCTGCTTTGTCTCGGCTGTGGGGGTTAGTAGGTGTTAAAGAACGACGAATTGTACCGATAAGCTCACTTCAACCGACCGTCCGATATTGATGCTGACTGACTCTGTGTGGGAGATGCGGGAAGGGGCTATCATTGGACACCTAGAGAGTCAAAGTAGATAAGGAATTGCCAAAGAGCCCTTCTGAACGAGATTAAGCTGTGAGGTCCTTGACCAAACGCGTCATCAGCAAATTTCTCCATAAGTACTCATGATGCAGACTTTATCCGAAGGTCCGGGAGATTCAAGCAATGGGTCAAATATCACATCCCGAAGGCTCGATCCCTAGGTGTGCAGGCACAAGAGGGTTTCGGGGTTGGGGCTGAGGATTTAGAGGGCTCAGGGTCTGTTGGCTTCAAGAAAAACCCGGAACCCTAAACTATGGCCATACAACCTCGCCTGTGTAAATCGTCCTTCGCATGCAACAGAAAGAGCCGTGGCTCCGAAACTGTCGGCCAAGTTCTTGTCCGCGTTTGCCTCCGGCAGTTTCAAACCCAAAGAGTCCCAAGCATCGAAGAGTTATGATGGTTGGTGCTAGCATGTCTCATACAGATGCCGACATTACGTTGTAGTCAGACCTCTGATCTGAGACCCATAAGACGAGCGTTGCCTCCAGCAGGAGGGTGGCGATGTCTGCGTTGCCAACTTCTGTTGCAGCGACCAATGCCGTTAAGCCCCTGTCCTCAGCAAGGTGTGGGCTCTTCTCCGTTCGGGTTTAGGGTTGCGGGTTTAGGGAAGCAGGTTTAGAATTCTGTGGCTTAGTACAGGTCTAGGCGATATAGGAAAGAGGGCTTTAGGTTTTTGTATCGGTGCATAGGGCATCGCGTTGGCTTCGTAGACCAGGGGATTCTGGGATCAGGTCCTCTGAAGGGGCAGTCGACTTCGACCACAGCTGTTGAACAACATCAAGCTGTACGGAGAAGCCTCACCTCGCCTCTGAGATTTCCTGGTGAGTTCTAGTGTCAATACACCGCGACCCCAATTCCAACCTACCTGGTCTTCTCCGATTTCAAGTCAACCTGACGCTTCCCTGACCATGGAACCGTGAAGAAGGGTAGCACATCGAAATGCTGACGACTTCTACATGTGCCTAAGTTTCAGCAGGAGCATGAGCTTCATATGCTTTGTTGTAAATTGGAGGTCAGGTTCTGCAGCTTAACCCCGGCTTGCCCCTCACATCCGGGGATTTTATGAAGTGTGATTCAAAGAAAGCTCACGCGATGCCAGTCTAGGAACGACTTCGGCGTCCTGACGCACTTGGTTCTGGTTTAAGGACAACGAAAATTACCAAAGAACAGGCAACTCCTTACGACCAGAAAACCAATTGAACATTATCCCCAAGTGTCACCTCACCTAATCCAGAGCCCTATCTTGTTCCGAGCATCGTTGCTGAGATCTGGATTTTGGGGCCTGGCAGCTTGCTGGCCAATTTGTTTCGGAGCATGCTACCATCATGAAAGCAGGCCGGAGCATACGGTTCATGCCACCCTACACGAAACCTTACACCGTCAACGCTAGAAACACCAGTACCTCGAACTACCACCTAATTTTGTTGAGCCACTCTCAAATCTGTGTTACATGTATTGTTCTTTGGTACAAGCCCTCCAGAGAAATAGGTTCCGGTAGCTGGAGGCATACTAACATTCGGACCTGACCGGTTGGAAGAGGCTTCTGGCGTAGTATGGGTCGAGGATCGAAATCTGCGGTTGCGGTTCGGCATGTCTCAACCATTACCATTATATCATCAACTCCCATGGATGCCTGTGGAGGATTTCGTCCACGAGATCGAAGTCCTGGGCCGTTCAGCAATTACCAGGAAACTTGCGGTTATGGACCCATAAACCGCAGAACCCCCTGATGCCTAAACCCCATCTATATATATATATATGTATATATATATATATATATATTATGTATATATATATATATATATATGCATGCACATATATCTATACCTATCTTTAATTATCTATACCTATCTATCTATCTATCTACCTATCTATCCATCTATCCTCACGAACATCCTAGCGTCCTCTTCATGGCACGCCAGGAGGAGCGCGGCGATCTCTTGCTTGGAGGCCTCGAAAATTTTAGACCCGGGGTTCAACGAGGTTGTATATGGGTTGTGAAGGACCTTGGCATGATGAAAAATCTAACTCCCATAACCTGTTGTAGTAGGATTGTAGCGGTTTTGTCGGGTGCTAAGGAAGACCCAACCTAGGGGAGTTGAAGGACTCTACTGGGTTTCTGAAACTTCCATGGAATGTTAAACGGAAGCTCAAGGACCCAGCACGCAGAAGGTTGGGCCCTGAAGTCCGGCAAATCACAGACGTTCTGGAAGGGTTCTATTCAAACTCAGGAATCGCCCTTAACTCGCAATGGTAACCTGTGCGACTTGGGGGATACCTTGAAGTACGTCATGGCAAGAAACCCTATACAAACTTCGGAAGACTCCCTTCTTCAGGGAGCATCCCAAACCCCTGAACCCCTGAACCTGAAGCCCTGATTCAAGCAAAGACCCGCCAAATCCAAATATTCTAGGCCTCTGCAAAAGGGAGGCGCGCCAACTGCAGCTCTCCGGGCGCCTTGACACAAAGGGTACGCAATATACGCATGGTACGATAGAACCAACCAAGGTTTCGAACTTCGCGCTTCACACTAGCACTCTCAGGGTTTGGGGTTTTGGATTTCTAGGGTTTGGGGTTTTTGGATTTCTAGGGTTGCACTGAGACATGTTCCACCCATATAACTTTTCTAGATCTCTGGGTGACTGCATGGACACGGGTGTTAGGGTCTTGGGGGCTCTCGAGGCTTTGCGGTGCTGTGTTTGATTGGGGTTTAGGGTTGGGTCGGTTAATGGCCTCTTTCAAGTGACAGCTTCAGGACTGAAGAAACAACAGCCGAGCAGTTCGTCGGCCCTCTTATCTTGCGGCCGGGCCGAGGCGGACGACGCGAAGCATTAACACTCAGAGAGTCTGACATCTTGGATAAAGTGATCTTCAGCGCCAAGCTGATGAGCTCGAGCAGGACACAAGTCTCCAGAAGAGGCTCCGGTTCTCACAGCACTTCAGCATCGCGAATTCTCATTTCCGTGTCCGACGCCTCGAGTGCCAAACCTTACTTTGCAGAGCCCACGTTACCCAAGGATCGGGGGAGACTTGTTAGAACTCTGAAAATCGCAGCTCCAAACCCTAGAAATCCTGCTGTGTACTATCTATGTATTTATTTACGATCCTTGACTTTCGAAGCCCATGAAGGGAGCCTGCACATGGATGACATCGTGCAGCACTGCGCTGCGCGCCAGAATCCTGCGAACAGACAGCTCCAATGCTCTGCTGATGGAAAGCTCAAGTCAAAGTTCAAGTTCGTTTTTCTGATGAGGGAAATTTGAGGTGAGCTCCCAGACGAAGCTCGAGAAGTATGCATATTATCCGAACGCAACAGAGTTCAACTTCCGGAGCGGCGCCTCTGTCGGAATCTCGAAAGTCCGCAAATGCCTGGCGAAAAAGACTCAAGCGTATCAAGGCAGGGTTTAGGGCTTAGGCTCTTCAGGGCATGGTAGTCATACCAATCGGTCGTGCCCTTACCTTTTTTAAGAACCCTGCATTGCAGCCAGGGTTTCTGTGGGTTTGGGCCTCGAAGTCTGCAACCATCGGGGTTGCTAAGCTAGCATCCAAGGCAGCTTAGGGATTTCCTGGGTGCTTCTCTGTAGCAGAGCTGCCACCTTTCACAAGGAACCCTCTTCTCCTTGGGCTCCCAAAGCTCCCAAAGAGGAAGGCCCTGAAGCTAAACACTCAAGCTTCCCATTTCAGATTGAATAGCTGACAGCTTCGCTTTGAAACCCTAACTCTGACCCTTAACCCTAACACTCCAGCCTCTATGTGGAAAAACGAATCGGTGCTAGTGTGACTGTGAGCTTCTCCCAAGCCTTGTAGGCGCTGCTTGAGCATCAGCACAGTCACACCCTTGAGACCCTGAGCAGAGCCAGGGGGTAGCAGGAAATATACAAACTATATGATAATTGAATGTGTTCAGGATCCGGGGGCTGGGTTCGGGCGGGTTTGGCTTGTAGCATCTAGTCGGCTTAGGGTTGAGGGATTGGGTTTGAGGCCTGGGGTGGAGAGGACTTATACACGGCTGAGGCCAGCTTCGGTGTGAAGGATCTGCGGGTGAACCTCAATTTTGCATGAATCTCGTCGAGCCCCAATCCTTGCCGCGCCTGCGCGCTGGCCCATGCCTGCAGTTCTTCTGCAGTGAGCGCCAGCACCAGGTCGCCTGTGGCAAAAAGCGGTAGCTCTTGTGGCGCGTGGCTTCTAGCCTAAGGCTCGGGATTTCAAGAGGTTGGGGCTGTTGAATCCCCGACCTCGAGTTCGCATGCAAGTCCGGGCGAAATCCCTCTGCACCCAAACAGTCCTCGCACCAACATGGTAGCCCCCGAACGCCCTGGAACGCCAAAACACAAGCAGGCCGTGTTTCTCCGATCGGAAGATAGGGTTCGTGGCGAGCTGAGGATCTTATGTGTTTTTGGCGCATTCGAGGCTCAGCAGGCAATGATAAGGGTGTCCATAGAAGGGCTAGGCTTTACATGAATGGTTTATGTAAGTGTGCATTACAGGCACTTAGCTATAGGACAACTCTATGTCGAGGGTCTTCCTGATGAGTGAGCCCGGACCACTCCGAGTGAGGAGCTGCAAGACAAGTCTCGGATATGTTGATAACGAGAATAAGGCTTCGGGTTGTATCCTAGCCTGACTTTACGGAGCTGACGGGAATACTATGTAATTATTCCGAATCAGGCCTCTAAATATGGCACCTGCGCACACAGACGTGTCGCGCACCCCTCGGAACGACTGGTACAGTCCCACCAGGCCTGAAATCGCCCGCACGTTCAACGTGTCGGCCATGGCGCAGTGGGAAGAAAAAAGCGGAGATGGAGATCCCCAAAGGGTCTCACAAGTATGTAGATTATTGGTTTGGGACCGACCTAGCGTCATAGTGCAAAGTAGTGCTTCTATGCTTCGCTCAGGTTTGTGCAAATGTCCCCGATACGGGTACTTAGGGACATGGAGACGGGGTCTGGTTTCGGCTTTCTCGCCGTGTCTGCAGTTGATAGTACTCAGCTAAGCTGCGGTAGAGTCGCACGAACATGTAAGTTCTGATTCTATATTTCATTTCTTTTCCCTTGATATAAACCCTCTTACCGAATTCTAGGAGAACCCAGATTCAAGGAAATTGAGGTTCAAAGTTCAAAAAAGTCTTCGGTCTGCAAAGCCTCGAGCCAGGAGGCTTTGCTTGGTGTCGAGTTCCCCGGAAGCTGCGAAAGCTCGGTAGACAAAAACACTTTACGGGTATGCAGCTTAGCCCTTCGGGGTCAAGGTTTTGAGGGCCTACCTTAACCTACCAAAACCTACTTTTTTTGTAGGGCCCTTTTAAACTCCATATTAGGGTTCATAATAAGAACCTACAAAAAAGTAGGTTTTGGTAGGTTAAGGTAGGGCTTAGGGAGAAAGTCAGTATGGCAGATGGATAATCTGGTTAAAGTGTATACTTTTACTCTGCTTGGAGGCCCGGGAGGCCGGGCCTCAACGGAAATCCTTGCAACGATGACATACAACCCCCATACGGAAACACCAGAAGAAAGGAAGGGATCACGTAGCATTCCCATGGACTCCGGGGATAGAACCCTTCAAGGAGAGCTGGGAGTAGCTAAAAAAACCCAAAAAACCCATCTAAGTTGGGGTAAAACTTGACTCTGCTTTCGACCTCAAGGAGCGCATGATCTGCTTCCCGAAGTGGAGCACTTTCTCGAGCCTAAGAGTCGCTTGAGCTTTTTCTTTGCCAGGGTTTTGGGGGGCAATCATTGCCCTGGTCTCACTTAGATTTATTCGGGGACCCTAAACCATGATATGACCAAGCTGCTCAGGTTTCTACATTGCTATGTCCGCCCTGGAGCTTGAATCATCCCAAATTTCGAAGATCGAAGGTTCATGGGAAGTTAAGCACCCTGACTGGCAAGTCTTATTCATCCTGGCACCAAGGCGGTCTGAAGTACCCACATAGTACACAGCAGGGTTTCTAGACTTGGATCTACGATGATGCCATGTGTAAACATCCGCCAGATAGGTGGGCAGACTGCAGTTGCCTGCATGTACCAAAACCCTGGACCCTCTAAACCTCTACATCTAAAAATACTGGAGCCAAGACCCCTCTTACCCAAAGCTCCTCAACATAACGATACCTTAATTAATTCAGCTGACCAGCCCTACACCAAAACCGTAAACACCGAAACCTAAATCAAATTACCTGTGGCTTGCCTTATCTAAACAAGCCTTCGAGGGATTCCGAAAGGTTTCCCTTCTTTAAGCTATGCTGATACCTCAATAACATGTTTCCTACTCACCTGAAGCTGTTTTACGTAATCAGTGAATGTTTATTGCTTCCTTGCGCTGTTCATCATCTTTCATGGATTGAGACCCTGGTCTCCCAACTCTCGTTACCTCAATCAGTGACTATGGTTTCCGTGTTCAGATAATTCAAAAATCATTTGTTCGAAGATCCTGAGAGCAGTGGCTTGGGGCCTGCGGAAACTGTCCTAATAGTACTCCTGCGTGTGTCAGCAACGCACCGCCGTTTTGCAGTGTGCCCATCAGAACTTGTTCGCATGCTGCTTTTCACCGGCACTGCGTGACGGTCTTCGTTGGGTGCCCGATTATCGCAGCTGACTTTGCGCAACAGGCGACAATTTCCTCAGATTGGACGACACTTCGCACTGCTACATGTCTGCCTGCGAGAAGCGCGCGTGCGTCACACCTCCGTAACACACACGACCTTCCCACGAGTGCATTTCTGAAGGGTCGTAAGGTTGGTTTGTTTTGGGTGCAGGGACTAGGTCAGAGGCTCTTATTCTGAAGCTCCCATGAAGTCCGAATCAGGATCTGCGTAGGCTTACTGCCAGAGTGCCTCGTCCCTTGGGGGATGAGTCTGCTTTAGAGCTTGGGAGCGTAGGTTTTGGTCGGAACAGTTCGGGTTGTCTCTGAGCGCTTGGCGGCTGCTTGCCGATCTTGCGGAGGTTGGATTCCAACCTTCAGCTCCCCCAAAGGTTCCTAAAGTTTGAAGGTACTGTCGTCGAATTGCACTCTCAGGCTTTGCCCTTCCCGACACGAGCCCACAAACATTCTGAGCATTGGACCTGGTGACCTGATTTAGCCGTCGCCTTAAGCCCCCGATTAACCAGCCAACTTCAAGTCCTGCACTTCTCAAAGCACATGCACAGGTACTCCAGCTCGCCCGTAGGGCTGGGAACCTGCAACAGCTACCAACCACTTGAGACCACTTGGGGATTGCACCCTGCGGTGCTATGCATGAGGGAACAAAGCCACAAGACTTGGGGTCTGCGAGCTCGCTCAAGGCTTGCGGGTTCCAAGCTTCACGCTTTGGGGTTCGAAATCATGCCCGGAGCGTGTCATTGCTGCATGCTGGACAATCCATATACCTGAAACCCAGGCCACATAGACCCCAGACGCACCCTCAAGCCGTAAACCTCTGCAGAACCCGACACAGCCCTGTCCTTATCCCTCGCTCCTTGTGGACGAAGGTGTCGCGCACCAGTGACACGAGGGCCGCACCCTCGGGATCCTCCAGACCGGCTGTAGGAAGGGCTTTGTGGGACAAACAACGGGTTCAGGGCTAAGCATCAGGGTGCATGGCACTGGAAAGACAAAGGAAGGTGATGATTGCCTATTGGAGCCGACTCTACAGATCGTATAACCACCTTAACCTCAAGAAAACGTTCTGGGATTTTAAGATAGGGCGATACCCTGATTCCAAAAGCCCCCTGGCACCTGCTCCTGCAGTTCCGCAGCCCTCTTGAGCACCTCCACCTTTCTTGGTCTGCAAAGAAGAGGGTGGCGGGTTTACGGGTATTCCAAAGTCTCCTTCCTGAGTACCTAACAAAGTACTGCATCCTAAGATTAGGAGTTACTGCTATCAATTGTGAAAGTGCCGCTTGTGCGCTTGTGAGTCAAAGGGTTGTGACTAATTAATTTTGGGCTACATATCGGGCCTGAAACCTTAGGTGCGGCAGGGGGAGAGTCCTGCTGCTTTCGGATCCCCTAAACCCCTTCCTTCATTGAAGAGCCCTCGAAAACCATTCGCTTCAGAGGACTCCCTGGCAACCCTAGCGCCGGACCGTGGATCTCGAGGAGAACAACTTTGCTTTCCCAATGAAAGCGCTGGAAGGCAAACATGGGTGGGATGATCTCATCATGCGAAGCTTTCCATCACGCGGCTACAGTTGTCTAAACAGGTGCACCTCTCGAGTGGCATATTTGCGGAAGTGGTCCTGGAGGCACTCTAGGCTGAGCAGAGACAGACAGAGAGAGAGAGAGCGAGGTTGAGTGCTTTTGAAGGTGATGTGCCGGTTTAAGCCTGCGCACACGACTGGATCTCGAAACGCAACTCAGCGAACACCATCAAGCCCGGAACGACAGCGCACATCTCCAAAACAACTCAAGGGTACGCACCACAACCTTCCAGGTCCACGACAAGTCCCAACCTTCCCAGTCTTGCATGGGGCATGTCCTGATGTCGGATCACTTTCATTGCCACAAGCTTGTTCTCCTTGTCGGCACATGGCCAGACCTGTCGGAGCTTTGCAAGCAGATGAGATACGGGCCTTACAATAACACTAGTGCAGGATCTTGGATCTTGGGGCACAGTACTGCAGGACTCTTTTGACTCCCCTGCCCATATCTATCTTTCTTTTTTGCTTTCCATCTATGTATCTACCTCTCTATCTATCTATCTTTCTTTCTATCTATCTGTACATACATACATACATACATACATACATACATACATACATACATACACACATACATACATACCTTCGTGCCTACATACATGCGTATGTATACATCTATACATATATATATATATACATATGTATGTATGTGTATATATATATATATACGCATACATACCTTCATACCTATTGTGTATGTATATACACATACATGAACATATATATATATATACACACATACACATGTACATGTACATATACTTTTACGCACACACACACACATATATATATATATATATGTATGCATACATACACAGAAACGTACATACATATATATATATATGTATATCTATATATGCACACGAGGATACTACACCTAACTATTCAGACCTCCTTTTCTGTGCAGTTCAAGTCCATATGTCAGCAGCCCCACGATTATATGGGGTTAGGACTAGGGCTTGGGGGATTAGTCTAGTAACTTCTAACACACAAGCGTTAAACCGTACAGAGCCCTTTCAGCAATCTTGTAGCGACTAGCGATGCCTCATACGTCCTTTGTCAACACCCCACTACCAGCTTTGGTTCAATAGTTCCAAGCCCCATGCCACAGAGAAGACGCCGACGCCCAAGGACTCAGCAGACACTACGGTGTAGGAACCCACCTCAGCGAACGCACGCGGTTGCTGTGCCTTGAGAAGGCCTTCGGGTTAAGAGGCTCAAGTTTGGGGGCTTGCCTTAGGCATGTCGTGGTGGATCCATCGGAAGCAATCAACCAGCACTAGGAACGGGAGGCATGTGCTTCAAATTACGGGGGAGCTCCAATTTCCTCTGTGGCCGAATCGAACAACAGGGGCCTCAGCAAGAGCTGAGTTTGGGGTATGTAATCGTCGACGTAAATTGGGAACACAAGGGATAGGATTTCTCAGAGTTCTGACCTCTACACGACCTCAGTTCTGGTCCACAGAAGATGAGCCTGTGACTGTCGTCTACACGAAGAACGATCATGAGCTCTCGTCTTGCGATCAGATCTAGAGCCGGTAAGAACCTGAGAAAGAAGAGACGCAACATCCGAATGTTCGATGACTCTATGGGAACTCCCTCCCACGCAAATGGAGAGGGCAATGCAAAGTTCAAGAACTAGTTGTGTACAGTCTTGGCAGGAATCTTACTGAAGACTGAAAGAAGGACCCTACAACAAAGTAGGTTTTTCTGAAGGAAGCAGTAACGAGCGAGGCACTTCACTCCCGTTGATGTGGTAGCCCACGTGCGCTTTGAGGTAGCCCTCGTTGCGCCTGTGTCTTCAAATGCTTCAAACTTGGGTTTTGTCACCTCGCAACACCCAAACCTCCCATACAAATATTATCGCGATAGACACCTTGCAGCGTGTAATCGGCTATGGTAGCGCAAGGTGCTTGTGGCACATGATTGCCTTTGCGAGCCGACTGCCCAATCGAGTCCAATTGAGGAATCAAAACCGAAGGCGAGCAGCTACCCCAAACCTCTCAGCCTAGATGGACAGTCACACGGTTTGATGCTACCAACCCTCGATATGCCCTTTCCGATCACTGCGAGATTTGAGACTCTCCAGAAGACCACCAAAGAAACACTAGGCAGGACACATCCCATCTCAAAGTACATAGCGATTGGGCAGAAGGAGATGTTGAACAGCATCTGTCGAAATCAAATATAGATAGGGCTCTAGAGCGCGTCACATCTAAACCCTATGCACGAAGAGAGTCGTGCTGGGACAAGCCTGGGCCTCGACCCTTAGAGTCCGAACGCATCTTGGCATGAGCATCTTCGCTATTTAGCCAGCAGAGGCCGAAACACTCTCTTAGATTGGTAACCATGATGGTTTTACAACATTAACAAAGCTGGGAAGTCTAAGAAAATGCGACTAACTGATCTACTGCATTGCACCTAGGCCCTGTCGGATGCATTGAGCGCAGAACTCGACGGCTTGCTGTAGCCGGATATTGGCCTGTCAGGGCTTTGGGGTTTGCCTCGAACTTCATTTGATGACCTACTTGGTTCAAGCATCCCAAGCCCTTCAAATCCACAATCCCTGTAAACTTTAAGATTTCCAGCCTCAGATTAACCCATATACCTGAATAAAAGCCCAAAGACCTCAAGCCTGATCCGAATGAAGCCCTGCATAAACCCTTCGCCCCAAAACAAAAAACCCTGTAAGTCCTGACACAGGGGCTGCCCGAAGCCTCGAGCTTGAGCTGCTCCTCGGTCTTCGGTGGCTCCTCGCGGGCGGGGAGGGCGGCATGGCTTCGGACTTCAGGCTTTGGTAGCTGCTGCTTAGCCTCGACCCAAGTACACCTAAATCCGAAACCCTGACCCCAAGTGAGTCAGATGACCTGATACATCTGCCCCTCAATGCAGGGTGTAGGGTCTAGCGTCTTTAGCGCAGTGCCTTCTCCTCATCAGACCCCTGCGTTTTCCCGACGGTACAGATGTAGTCGCTTCGCTTGGATGGCCTGTTCTAACTATAGTGATAGTGTTAGGATCCTAATAGAAGCAAGTAAGGCAACGAAAGGAAAAGGTACTGCAGTCCAGGGTCCAGGTATGCTTTTCAGGCAAAACCTCCGAATCCCAACTCCCTACAAAACCAAAAAACCCGAAACTGGAAGACCTTAGGAGCCTTACTAAAGCCTGTGTGAACCTGGAACTCGACTATTTACGCCTCAAGACCCTGAGACCCTCCTTCTGGATGAGATGCTGAAGCTCCCGTGCCGCAGGGCCAAGCTCCTAGATCGATGGGGTTCTGTAGGGTCTGAACAAGCTTCTGTTCCTGATGGGTCCTACAAGGGATTGAGGGCCTCCAGATTCCAGGTTCTAGGGTTTTTATTATGGCTTCGGAGTTAAGATTATTTTGGCAGATCTCAGCTCGTTGGAGCGTCAGGCTTTTCGGATTCAGAAGATGTTTCAGGTTTTGGGCTGGGCAGTAGCTAGTAACTAGTACGCTGTAGCAGGCCACACATACACATGAACAACAAGCAATCACCAATGCTACAAAGCCGGTTTTGAACAGAACCTTCGTGCAAACCCTGGCAACAGGTCAAGTTCCCGCAGCGCTTGCGGATCTTGTCGCGACAGGTTCTCACTTGAATTCGAATCAGACCCCTGACGACAATGACCCCAAATACCTACCACGAGTGGCAATTCGAAGTACCGTAGATATTGGTACATACATCGACATAGATATATAAGAATAATACATAGAGGGAAAAGGTATGCTAGGTACAGAGTCTTAGATGCAGATAGGATAGCGCGTCTGTGTGTTTGTGGGTGGAGAACAAGATGCATACCTGCATACACGTACATCGCGTGTGTGTGTGTGTGTGTGTGTGTGTTTACCTCTCTCTCTATACAGTTATGCATAAACATATGTATATATGTATGTATGCAGGTATGTAATTAGGTAGGTAGGTAGGTAGGTAGGTAGGTAGGTAGGTAGGTAGGTAGGCAGGTAAGGTATGCACGTATGTATATGTATATGATGTGTCTGTTTATGAAAGTATGTGATAATACATTCAGTTCATTGTTGTTATATCTATTTGCTCATATATGTGTATTACATACATATATAATATTATATATATATACACACAGAATCACAAACACACACAAACAAACAAACAAACAAACAAACAAACAAACAAACAAACAAAACAAACAAACAACCAAACAAACACACAAACAAACAACCACCACTAGCAAGAGCATCAACAAGGACAACCACAACGACAACAATAA